CCCCTAGTGCAACCAATATCTCTGAGTAGGTCATAAAGAATATCACCATATTCACCGAACTCAGCCTCGAACCCAAAGTCTAGATCAGCCTCCCCCAAGGCATTCAAGTAATCTATCAAAAAACCATTCATTGGCCCAGAATACTTGAAGAACAACAACTTTGGAGTCTCAATGCCGATCCCATTTTCAAGACTCCAGCACTTATCAATCACCAAAGTCCTAAGCCTTGCTGCAGAAATATTAAGGTTCTCCAAATTCCAACACTTCTTCAAACTCAAACTCTCTAGTAATCGACAGTTTGATAACAATGCGTTAAAAGAAGTAGTTGACAGTTGAATCCACGCTAGAGAAAGACTCGTTAGAGCACTGAAGTTGATGAACTGGGAAACCCTAAATTTGCATGCAAACAACTTCAAAGATTTGAATGGCTCTTTGTGTTCATAAACACATGGAGGCAATTCAAACAAATCAGCATGGTTATTATCAAGATCAAGATCAAAATCTTGTTGATCCCACGTTGGTTTTGAGAAGTCATGTTCAAGAACTTTTGCATTATGACCAATGGCGAATTGAACAAAATTTGCATGGCCTCAACATAGTTCTCGGGATGTGAAAATGAGAGGCGAAACTTATCCACACTCACTGGGCGAAAACCTTGAATGAACTGCATTGAGAAATCGATGAAACCCCTTCTTTGATTCCCTATAGTTTCTTCGTTGAATTGATGATTTTGTGGTTCTACAAAGAGGGTTTCGTCGAGTTCTATGTTCTTGGTCTCGTGCCAGCGGAATTGCCATCGCTTGGACAAGGTTGATGTTCTTGCCGCTTCTTTGAAGGGCAAGAAGGAGATGATTATGAGAATGAGTGAGTCTGTCAAGTATGAGAACATGTCTTGATCATTGTTTTTGTTGGCCATGGTGGAATGTGTGTATGTGTGGGGGAGTCTGTGTGTTGTTGCAAGAAAGTTGATGAGAGAGTGCGTGTATATATAATGAGTGAATCGTTGCAAAACAAAGACCAAGAGTTGCTTGTATATATATATGTTTGGTTTGGAGGGAAGCATGGTTCGGTTATTATAGTTGGGGTTTGAATTTGAATCTTTAGTGGACGGTTTTTAAAGAGGGAATTTCAGTTAATCGCATGTTTTGAAAAATTAATATAAATAAATGGAAATTTTATAAATATTTATTATTTATATTAATAATTATAATTATATTTTTTTTTTCATGAATTTGTAATAAGTTTTTAAAATTATCACTGTAATTTTCTCACTTTTAAACCAATTATAATTAATAATTGGGAAATTGTTTCCATCATTGTATGTTAATGTAGAAATTATATTTTTGAGGTCTTAAAATTTAACAGTCACTCGAATTTTGTATTTATTTAACTGTATGGTTAAAAATCTGAATTACTATACGGATACTAAAATTTGCTTACAAATTTTTCAGAATAGTGAATTGTGGAGAGATTTAATTTGGGATTAACTTCTCTCCGATTTGAAATCGGACTGGAGAGGTATTGTCCAGTTCATTAGATTTATTTGTAGATAACGACAATCATGTATTCGGATCAGTATTGTCCGGTTCGAGTCGTTCGTATTGTAAAATTCATTGTGTATATCATTCCTGCAAAAATTTAAGTCGGTTAGATAACGACAATTACGTATTCGGATCAGTTTTGTATGAAAAAAATAGACGATGAGAAAATTAACAGTTTATACAAAATTGATTTATACACGTAGTTTACGTTATCCGATCAACTTGATTTTTTGCATGGGTAATGTACTCGACAAATTTTAAAACGTAAACGGCTTGAATTATTAAAACATGATCCAAAAATTAGAGGTGCTCGTGATTCGGTTTTGAACAATTTGTGGATTGGTTTGGATCTGCTCGCATATATGCGGTTTGGGAAAAATTCAACCTGCAACTACTCGTAGTGCGGGTTGCGGTTTGTGCGGATAGGGTTCGCGTTGTAAATATTTATTTTGAGCCATTTTCCCCCCATTTTCTAAAATACTCCAACATTAATAATTAATGAATTAAAACTTATAAAATTAAAAACACAACAAAATCAATTCCTAACACAAATAAATCATTCAAAATCCTAAACTTTTAAATTAAATCATAAACTAACACAAGCACATCTTTCAAAATCCTAAACTAGATCATCAATCTCATTCGTTATCTACTACCAAACAATTCAATTAAAGTAAAACCATTCAAAATTCTAAATTTACCTAAAAGTAATTCTTCATTAGCTTTTGCATTTATCCAAAATGCAATAATAAAATAACAACAGTCCACGTTTTTTTTATAAAAAAAAAAGTCTAAGTGCGGCCGAGTTCTTACGGATGTAGGTTAAACCCACAATCTGCTCGCAATCAACAATCATACCATATTTTAGTTTAGATTAGGCGAGTTGAGCTGTTCGAATAACTCTAGGGCTAACCCTACCAAAAATGAACCCAACTGACTGAATTGGAGTGTCTAGTTTGATTTCGTGCTAAGATAATCCAAATCTATTTAATTATTATATTGTGGATCCATAACTTAGATAAATCTCAACTAGGGGTGTGCGCAGGTCGGTTGCGGCCACGGAACCTTCAATCCGCCATCTGTCCGCCAAATTGGCGGATTGGAGAAAATCAATCCGCATCCATCCACCAATCCGACGGATGTGATGTGGATTGAGCGGATTGGCGATATGGCGGATGGATACGAATCGGTTTGGCGGTTTAAGATTTTATAAATTTTCAACACAATTCAACTTGTGCACTTTCTCAAAAAAAAAAAAAAAAAAAAAATACAGTCAATGACTTAAAAAAATATTACAATCACTGCATGCCTCATCCAAAGTAAGAAAGTTTGAAATTTTAGAATATCACAATCACAGCATGCCTCATCCACATAAAGTATTACAATCTGTGGTTCTTAAAATATAAAAATAATTCAAACCACCAAAATCATAAACAGAGTAGTAATAGAGATTGTCTGTCTCTGTATTGTTACATCTATATCTGTTTTTGAAAACAAAAACCAACAAACATATATCATATTTTCTATTTATTATTTTTATAGATAGATTTAAAAACCAAAAAATATAGATAAATAATACGTTTATTTTTTTCAATTCAAAAAAAATATTCAAGTTGAAAACTTTTTTTTAACAGAATATTTAAACTTTTTTTAATTGAAAACACAAATAGAATATTTAAATAAACTGAAAACACAAAGTCTTATAAATTACTAAAGTGCTCGCGGTTTGGCGGTTCGGCGGTTCGGTTGCGGCCAAAGGAATCTCAAATCCGCCATCCGTTCGCCAAATTGGCGGATTGGAGAAAATCAATCCGCAACCGTCCGCTCGTCATCACGCATCGTCCAAAATGCGGCGGATTGGTTCGGTTCGATCGGTTTTGGCGGATCAATATATCCGTTGCTCACCCCTAATCTCAACCACATACAATTATATTTTTGAATAAATTTCTAAATGCGTAGGATTTATGAGAGACACTTATTAGGAGTTTCAAGTTTTTTCATTTGAGAAATTAAGGGGTTGTTTGGGATATTCTAAATGAGTGTATTTTTTAATTTTTTGGATTAAAAAATTGAGAAAAAAATATGAATATTTGGGATAATTTTTTGACTTTTTATGAAAAAATATATATTAAAAAATTGTATAATTTAGTGTATAGGAGAAGGGAGAGAAGAATAGGCAATATGTTGGGGAAGAGCAGTGGACAGACTAGCATATAGGATATGCTTGCCTCATTTTTGGGCATTGAATTAGACGGTGATGTTCGGCCCGTGGGGGCCCACCACGGGTCTCGTTTTGATAATCAGAACCGTCAATGTGTAGAACTTGTCGAGTAATATATGCTTGTAAAAAATTACGTTAATCGGATATCGATAGCTATTTGATCGGATTAGTTTTTTTGTCAACCGTTAACTATAATACCATCATTTTTTATATAAAACTGATTTGATCATGTAGTTAACGATATTCGATTAATGTGATTTTTACAGGCATATAGTACTCGACGATTTCTACATATTCAACGATTCAAATTATCAAAACAGGACCCGTGATTGGCCCAACAGGCCCAACAACACCATCCTTAAGCTTGCCTCCGCCTGTGTAATTTGTTCTCACCAAAGTCAGGTAAAGGCAACTCACGTCAGAGTGAGTTGTACCTTTTTTGTGTAAAAATAATTTTTTTTTATAATTTTTTTTGGTGAACAGTGATAATTTTTTAACTTTTTTAGTAATTTTTTGACTTTTTGTCTTTTTTTTTAAGATGCCAAACCAAGCCTAATTATTTTTAAATGTGCACGATACAATTATTTTTTTAAAAATATAATAATTGTACTAAAAAAAATTAGATTTTTCAAAAGGGACTAATCCCTCCGTTCCAAAATATTAATCAATTATTCCATTTTTTATTGTCCTAAAATATTAGCCCATTTTCAAAAATCAATGACTAAAATAATATTAATTTCCTATTTTGTCTTTTCTTTTAAATTCACTAATAATACAAAAAGTATAATTATGACAATTGATATTCTCCAAAAAAATGTACTATTAAAAGATAATTTTAAAAAATTACTCACTCTATTCCAAGATAATAGTCACTTTTAGGGAATCTAACTTTATTTGGTAGTAAAATTATGGATTAATTACCTAAAAGTCCTATCTACATATTTAGTAGTAGCTTAGGTCCTGTCTAAAAGTTTTTGAACCAATAAGTCTTATTTATAGATAAGAAAACATTTTTGCCTTTCAATCCAAACTGTTATATATCTATATAATAAAGCAAGACAGTTTTTGAAAATATGTCAAAATGTATTAGAGATACATTTAGTTTGAATGGTTGAGATGATTCCTAATCAATATCTAACGGTTGAAATCAATTTTTTTCCCGCCTAAACACTTTATGCTTTCTCTCCCACCTACGCATGTCTCCTCCTTATTCTTTCTTTATCTCTCTTATTTCTCTCCCTTTTTGTTCTCACATCTCCCCATTCCCTTTTTATCTCTCTCTCCCTTTCGAAATTGAACCCTTGGCTGAAGAATATTTCATCTATGGTATGTGAAACAGCAAGCACAACAATCCACCGATTGGCTTAAACCTCCGAACTGTGAATTGCAATGCCGTTGACAGTTTCGACGCCGTTCGCCAATCGAATAACCACCGTCTTGTGAGGCGATAGTGTCTCCAATTGTCCCGGCACAACGTGGCGAAGGAAATCAAACCGGAATCCATTAGATTCGGAGAAGAAACTTGAATTTGATGGAGTGAATACGGTTTGGCGTCCAGATTGATCAGGTCGGAGCGTTTCACAACCGTTACGGTCGTGACCATACTGAATCCTCTCTTTCTCAAAGTCTTAACCCCATAATCAAAAGGCGATTGAGATTGAGATAAAGATGGATCGACTTCTCCAGATTTGATCAGAAGCGTTTGATTAGGAAACATGCACTTGGACACAGAGTTAGGGTCCTATATGCCGTCGACGCTGTGGATAGTGAGACGATCATTCACGTAGAGATTGCCTGGCGAATTTGAACGACGGAGATTATTTTCTTGGATCCAGAGATGGCGAGATTGCTGTTGAAACCCTTGGAGACGAAGAGGCAGCGATTGGTTTTCCAAGTACGATTTCATGGGTTTTGTCTATTATCATTAATTGTTTTGTTTTTGGTTCTTTTGTTGATGAATTTTCAGTGTGTGTTGTAATTTTAGGCAAAAATAGAAGAATTGAAGTTGAAATTTTAGAAGACCTAATTCAATTCAATTAATTTATTTTTCTTTCTACAATCTCTGTTGGAGCTAAGTACGAGAAGATTTGGCAATATCAGGTATTTATCAGGTTACGGCTTCATGAGTTTTGTCGATTATCATTAATTGTTTTGTTTTTGGTTCTTTTGTTGATGAATTTTCAGTGTGTGTTGAAATTTTAGACAACAATATAAGAATTAAAGCAGAAATTTTAGAAGACCCAAATTTGAGGAAAAGTAACTGAAATGATGGATGATTTTCATTTTTGTAATCTTTGATCCTTTGCCATACATAAAATGAAAATCTTTCTTCAATAAAGCTCAAGTTTTTAGTTATTTTTTTCTTTATTTGATTTCAGATCAGATGATAAAATTATAAAAAAAAATAAAGCATTTTCAACTTTAATAACCTTTTTGTTTTGTTTTTGCTTTATGTACTTGGAATTAAGTTGTTATTTTTGGTGTTCTATTAGAATTGATTTGAGTAGTGATGTTGTAGGTGGGATGGGGAGAAGCGAGTATGATTCATGTCTTCTTCTCTCTCTCTGTTGTATTTTTTTTTCTGAAATACATCTTCAATTTGACTCTGTTGTTCATCGTTGTTGTCTTTGTTGAAGTCGATTCACCGCTGCTCATCATCACCACTCGCAAGGTTCCCTCTCTCCCACCCTTGGTTGTTCCCTTCGCAAGGTAATTTCGGTCATTCTCCCTCTCTCTGTTGTATTTCATATTTTGAGGAAATAGGTTATGTTTTCGCCGCTGCTCATCATTACCAATCGCAAGGTTCGATTTTTGCCTCAATGTGTTCGACATATTTTTTGTGTTTCCAGTCTTCGACATTTTTTTTTTCAACAAGAAATTTCCATATTGTCAAGAAAGCATCATTGTATCAACAAAGTTTCAGTTCAGTTCTTATTCACGAGACAGTGAGTCCTCGCTCTCAGTTTTTGGATTTGTGGTTTTGCTTTTTGCCCTAATTTCTATTTCCTTTCTCTTTTGAATGAATGTAGCTTTGGATCAAATTCTGAGACATTTTTTCTTTTTCAACAGGAAATTTTGACATTGTCAAAGAAGCATCATTGTATCAGCGAAGTTTTGGTTCGGATCTTATCTGCGAGACAGTGAGTATTCGCTCTCAATTTTTGTTTTTGGATTTGATTTTTTCCCTAATTTCTATTTCCTTTCTCTTTCGAATAAATGTACCTTCGGATCAAATTCTCAAACAGAAGATCGGAGGCTGGTAATCCCGTCAAAGAGTTTCAACCATATACATTCTTTTCGTTTAGATTAATGTTCTAAGTAAAATTGATTTTGTGTGCATGTTTTTGTTTTTAATGATTGTTTTAATGAGCAAACACTTTGGGTGTTTTTCAAGTTTTGTTTATGTTTTAATTTTTAAGTTGTTTTAAACTCTTAATTCATCTATTTTTTAGTTCTTTTTTTCTTTCATCTGTTCATCTATTTTTTTGGGGTTCTAATTTTTAAGTTGTTATTGTTTACAACTTTGCCTTTTTGTTATTGTTTTATTGGGTGTTTTTAGATTTTTCATTGTGTTCTCTCCTTGCAATGTCTATTCCAGAAATGAAAAATCTGTGTTTGGTAATAGTACTTTTATTTTTTGAAACAATTAATTACTCAAACCGAATATGTCTTTCCAGTGTGGCAGTGATTCAGGTAGTCTGTAGTTTATTTAGAATTCTTGGGGTTTGTTTAGAATTTCATGAGGCATTCTTCAAAAAAATTTCTGGAAAGTTGTATTTGTTGAATCGAATTGAAGCAGGATTGTATAATTTTCAGGATTGTATTTGTGAATGTGGGATTTCTGGGTTTCTGACTGTTTATTCAATGCTTTGAGAGATGTGAGGTTTGTGAGATTTGTTGGTTTATTATTGAGTCGGGAAACCTTTGAAAATGTTGATCTCTTATGTTTTGATTGTAGTGCATGTTAAGGATAAATAAACATTTTCGTTCTTGGGTTTGAATCACACTTTTTAAGTGGTTCTGTCTTAAATGTTATGATGTTGAAAATTATGTTTTTGTCTTAACTGTTATGATGTTGAAAATTATCTCTGATGGTAGTGCCGTTTTCTTTAATCTCGATATTTAATAATGCTGAAAATGCTATTTGGTGCAAGTATGTCATTTTCTACCATTGATTAAACTCTAAGCTATTATTAGTTCACAATTGGTGGCTTGCTGCAACTGAAAATGCTATTTGGTGCAAGTATGTCATATTCTGCCATTGATTAAACTCTCATTGATTAAACTTTGAGAACTCTTTGAGCTACATTATTATTAAAGTATTAGGAAATAGATGAGTATCCTATTATATGCTATCAATATGTTTTAACGAATCAAGACTATTGAAATGCATATCAACCCCACGTACTATAGCAAATAACTTACAAAAACATACACTGCTTGAGGAGATTGGAAGGTACAATAAAATCATTTCCAACATTGTATATTTTTTCCATCCTGTTACTTTTTCTTTCTTGATCTGTTAATATATTGAAGCAGTTGATGACAAACTATAGGGTCCTCAAGGATAAAGGAGTTTATATTCTGGTAATCATACCTTACTTTTTTTTATTCCAGATCAGAAAAATTAACCATCATTTACATTTATCATTTTCTCTGAAATTATTATTTATTGCAGCTTTGTAGATTTATGTTTTCAGCATGAAAGTAAAAAATTTTCATTTCTAAATTTTTAAAACTCACAAGGGCGTCGTTGCTGGAGATAGCTAGATCGACAGCGATTTTAGTCTTGATTTCGATCACAGAGAGAGACACAAAGAGAGAGAGAGAGAGAGAGAGAGAGAGAGGTCCAATCCAACGAAGCAAGGCTATAGAGAGAGAGAAGAAACGATGGTACTGGAAATAGCCAAGTTCAGTTCTATCTTTTGCTTCTTTAGTATTGTTTTGGGCTTTCGAAATTCTGAGTGTGTTGGGCTTCTTCTGGTCCAAACACATGATGGGAGTTTTCATGACTAGGCACATCTATCTATCTAGCTATATATTACATAAGCAAAAGCAAATTTTTGTGAGGAGTTTTGTGAGAATTTCCAAATTTTATAATAAATTTAAATAGTGTTAGGATTACAATTATATTCTAATGTTAACATTATTTATACCGTGCCTTCAGGCACGGGCATACACTAGTATATATATATATATATATAACAACATTGACATTATTTACTAAAAACAAAATCCAATCAATTATGGGAAATGGATGAAGATACAATTTTGAAGGATCTCGAAAGATTTCTTGGTTTGATTCGCTATTATACATACATTGATTTCGGCGTTTGACAAATTTGTGTTTGAGGCTTTTTGAGTTGAAATCTGTTTCAAGGTTCAGAATAGAGCATATTAAATCGACTAAAGAGATGGGCCTATAGATTTGGTTTGTAGGTAAGAATTGAGACATTCTTAGTTCCAAAACTAAGAATGCTCTCAATTTAAAATTAAGAATGATTTCTATTTGCAAAAATATCTAGTAAAATTGAGAAATTTTTCAATTTTTTCCAGTGTTAAAACTGAGAATATTATCATTTTTTTCAATTTTAAACTGATAATATTCTTAATTTTAATAATATAAAAAATTGAGGAATTTCTCAATTTTGCATAACCAAACGATGAGAATGAATTACTCATTTCAGGGAAGAAGTAGTCAGCGACGTCGGCAGAGAAAGCGTTGCCAGCGTTGGTGACAGTTATACCACAACGGCTGTAGGCGGCGAGGTCAATGTGGTCGAGACCAGTGTCGAAACCAACGACGCACTGGACGAAGGGGAAACGATTGAGAGTGTCAGAGGTGAGAGGGGAGGGACCGAGGCAGAGGAGGAGCCGTACAAATGAAAGTAGATACTGGGTCTATAGGGAGGAGAATGAGGGGTAATACGACGTCGATCATCACAATCGTTGCTCCGATTATGTAGCGAAAAGGGCTCGGTGGTTCAACCTTTATCACCCTCTTGAACTGAAAAGACATACCCAATCACAAACATGTATGTAATTTAACCCTAGACTCCCTCCATTGATCAAACAAGATCTACATCCAAAGCCAAAGAGAGAGAGAGAGACTTATAAGCATCATTGGTGTTACAACAAGAAAAAGAGATGATGAAATTCCAGTGTTAGTGTGGCTTGTTGTTGGGGAGTGGGTGTAAAAGTAAGAATGAGAAAATGAAGACAGCAATGGATGTTTGGTAAGGATAGAGGAGGCCTTTGAAGGGTAAATTGGTCTATTAAAAATTAATAAGACTTGAAGGGGCAAATAATTTTATCTAGAACTTAATGGATTATAAGTTTACAAAATAGGACTTGTATAGTAAATGCCCCTACAATTATTACACTTTAAAAATATTAATTTTTCAAAATTATCCTTTGATAGTACATTTTTTTTTAGAAATATCAACTGTCATAATTGTACTTTTTGTGTTGTTAATGAATTTAAAAAAAATGCAAAATAGGAAATTCAAATTATTTTAATCCTTAATTTTTGAAAATGGACTAATATTTTGGGACAATAAAAAGTAGAATAAGGGACTAATATTTTTGGATTGAGAGTAATTTTTTTAAAGTGCAATAATTATACTATTAAAAAAATTAAATTCTCCAAAAAAAAGATTATTATTTTGAGATAGAAAGGGAATATTTTTTTTTAAACTTATAGTATTGATATTTTTTTTCAAGATGGGATTTAGGGTGTGTTTGATTGGGGGAATTAGAGGGGGACTATTCACTATTCGGATTGCTTATCCGAAAGAGTGAGTAGTCCATTGTTTTTTTTTTTTTAGTCCGCCGGACATGGAGTCTGACCGGACTCCTTATCCCCCATATGGGGGATTACACTATCCCGGTGGGGGGTAGGTGTGGGATAGTTTTGGGGGGATAATTTATTGTTGGGATTAGGTGGTAAAATGTTCATTTTGACCATCTACTATTTAATTATGTATTATATTTAGTAAAATTTAATAAAATTTAAATGTCTTAATTTAAAAATAAAATTATTTTATTTAACTTTTTATTGATGTTTTATTTATTTAATTTTTTATAGATATTTTATTGATATTTTATTTTAAAATTTTGTTTATATGTTATTTAATTTCATTATTTAAATGTTAATAGATGTTTTATTCAATTTCATTATTTAATTATTATTTTTTTTAAAAAATAAATTTATTTAAAATTTTAATTACAAAATAACATATATTTTTATGGATATTTTATTTATTTTTTAAAAAATAAATTTATTTAATTGCGTAAAAAATAAAATAAAATCAATTTTTATTTAATCTAGTTAAAAATAATTGAAGTATTTAATATTGCTATTACTTAGTAAATAATTGAAAAATGGTAAAATAGTCTTTTGTTCATTTATCTTATTCAGTCCGTCCAACCAAACGTTGGATTCACTAAAAATAGTCATTTCCAGACATCTAATTCCATGAAAAAACAAACACATGATACATATCCAATCCAACCAAATAGTCTGGGGGATTCACAGTCCCAATATTCAAGTCCGATGGATTCTAATCCTCCCTTATCCAGTCCGTCCAATCAAACACACCCTTATAGTATTGATTCCCTCCCCCCAGAAAGTATTTGTATGTTAGTATAGTTAGAATATTATAATTGAAGGGCTGCCGTTATTTCATCAACTTGAACCCTTAACCTCCCATTCATTACATCCTTAGACCACACCCAATGTCTATTTATAGTATTGATTGATGGTGACTAAATTCGTTTATCACATACAATAATGAAAGATTATTGATTGATTTAGGAATGTCATGCTTTTTACTAATTACAATTTAGGGAAAATTACAAACACCTCCCTCGAGGTTTAGTGAAAATACAGATTCCCCCCTGAGGTTTGAGAAATTACATCTCGTCCCCTGAGGTTTATATTTTCATAACAAATTGCCCCCTGAGGTTTTTATTTTCATACAGATTCCCCCCTAATTTTTTCTAATTTGTTATGAAAATTTGACCCTCAGGGGATAATTTGTAATTTCTCAAACCTTAGGGGGAAATCTGTATTTTTACCAAATCTCGAAGGGGGTGTTTGTAATTTGCCCTACAATTTATAATCGTTGGTGCTATATATATATATCAATTAGTGTATTAACTAGTGTGCCAATATATGTATGATATTATTATTGATTTCACTCATAACATAAATTACAAATACTCAAAATTTCTAAAATTATACTACATCATCGGTTAGTACACTAATTAATATACTAATTGATGCATATAATATTATTCATTTACTATGTGGGTGTTTGGGAAGTAGGTTTTTATGTAGGTTTTTTTAATTGTAGGATATTATTGGATAAAAAAATTTTAGTGTTTGGTAAGATAGTTGAGTTTTTTTGTAGTTGGATATGATGTTTGTGAGAGAAAAAGTTAAATGATTATGAAGTTAGATGTGATATTTTGTTTGGATTTGTTTTTTTTAATTTTGCAAAAACTGTCTTTTAGTGAAAAAAATAAAAAAAAAAACCCAAAACCAAATCATGTCAAACACCGCCATACCACCTTATATTTTCTTACATGTACTAATTAATGTACAACTAGTGTTATGTCATTATTACTGAACCCACCTATTATATAATATATTAATTAATACATATAAAATTATTCTATATTTTTAATTATCCAACACAAATTTATAAACCCCAATCTCTTCGCTAATCACAACACAATTAAGCGACGGTGTGCAACACCAACCAATAACTTCTCCACAATAATCCATGAATATATTAGATCCGACCAGATATTTTATAGTCGTGTTATTTATTAGTATTATTTATTTCTTTTTGTGATAATAATTTTTTTTTTCCAGTTTTAATTTTATTTTCCGTTTAACAAATAAAAATAAAAATAAAAATAAAAATTTGCAGCCTCCGACAACAACACCACTGATTGATAGCCAGGTAAGCCAAGTAAGACAGCAGAGAATCCGTATATCTCCTCCCCCAATCCCCACCATCCGCCGCCCGCCATACCCCCAGAAATCAAAACCCACCTCTCTCTCTCTCTCTCTCTCTCTCTCTCTCTCTCATGGCCACCGTCTCATCTCCAAACCCTAGTTGCAGAACAATCCACATTTCTACCTCTCTTCCCAAACCCTACCCTTCCTTCTTCAATCCCTTCATCCTCCCCAAATTCTGTGTCTCCCCTAGGTCTTCTTCCATCTCCTGTACTTTCACCCGAGACTCTCCGACTCGCCCAATGGAGCTCCAAGACCAGAGTTTGGTTCGCCCCCGACTCGGGGTTCTCCAGAGACCTGACTCGTTCGGCCGATTCGGCAAGTTTGGTGGGAAGTATGTACCTGAAACCCTCATGTACGCTCTCACCGAGCTCGAATCTGCGTTCAATGCTCTCGCCGCAGACCAAGACTTCCAGGTTTCTTTTGATTAAACTCTTTCAATGAATTGAAATTTGTGTCATCGATTTGTTTAACATTTTTTGATTTTTTTTTTCCCGGTAATTTAAAGGACTGATTCACTATTTCATTGCAGTTGTTTAGCATTTATTAAATTTTAGGGTTTTTGTTTTGGTTGCTGATAAAATTTAGGGTTAATAGACCAAAACTGTCCAATTGTTTTGTTCAAATAGTTGTGCTAGACTAATTCAAAAGATAGTTGTAGAAAAGGAGGGTATGAAATATTGATTGATTGGAATGGATTTTACCATCGGGGTTTTTCATGTGATTGTGTAGGGGGCATTACTTGAACACTCAATAAGCTCTCCTCTCAGAACCACTGGCAATTGATAAATTGTTGTGTGGTGCAGTGGAAACACAATGAATTTTGAGTTTTCTACAAGAATTTCATGAATATTGTTGAATGGGATGATAAAGAATGTTCTATTTGGGATTTATATGGTACTAGCATTTTGGTTCTTCTCAATTGAGGTCGCTTTTGCGATGTTATTAATTTATTCTTTAACAAATTTTCATTTCAGAAAGAGCTGGATGTGATACTGAAAGATTATGTTGGTAGAGAGAGCCCTCTGTATTTTGCAAAACGGCTTACTGAGCACTATAAACGTCCCAATGGCGAAGGGCCACACATTTACCTCAAGAGGGAAGATCTTAATCATACTGGTGCCCACAAAATCAACAATGCTGTGGCTCAAGCTTTGCTAGCCAAGCGCCTGGGGAAGAAACGCATTATTGCTGAAACGGGGGCTGGTCAGCATGGAGTTGCCACTGCTACTGTATGTGCTCAGTTTGGCTTAGAGTGTGTTATTTATATGGGTGCTCAAGATATGGAAAGGCAAGCTTTAAATGTGTTTAGAATGCAGCTTCTTGGTGCTGAGGTATGTTTGTCATACTTTTATCTTTTAGTTGCTTTGAATGATTTTAAGTTATTTAACCATTGTTTATTTTCATTAGATTGATGCATAATTGTCTACACAACATACACTCAACAGTCATTTTGTGTCCATAAATAAAGTTACGGGTAACAAAGATGAAGACAGAAATGGCTTTCATTGAACTTTTTATTTATTTTCTATTTCTATTGCTATTGTGTAATGGTGGTCTTCATTGCAAAATTGTCTCCATCTTCAATTACAATGTTGAAGGCCATGTAGCATTTCTGTCCCTATGATATTTTATTTCACATTTTTAATTTGCTTTTCCTTTGCACTTTTTTTTTTTTTTTTGGTTTAAACATTTTGCTTTTATCATTGTGATAGTCATGTTATTGTTAACTATAGCATTAAGTATGACCTGAATTTTGTTGAATTTTCCTTCCCTTATTTACTGTTGTGTGAGATTTCTTATTTTCATTTGCTAAATTACCTTTGTATTATTTAAATGTCATTGTTAATTCTGCCAAACTAGTCACCCATTGTCAAGTACACACTCTATCCGGTCAATTATTTTTTTGAATCAGTTTCCTTGTGTGATCCATATTACAGTTGCTTTTATGCCTATTTATTACATCTTTTGAATATATTCCATTTTATTGTTATAGGTTATACCAGTTCATTCCGGGACGGCCACACTGAAGGATGCTACATCAGAAGCTATACGGGATTGGGTGACTAATGTGGAATCAACCCATTACATATTGGGATCTGTTGCTGGGCCACATCCATACCCCATGATGGTTCGAGAGTTTCATGCAGTGATTGGTAAAGAGACAAGGAAACAGGCATTGGAAAAATGGGGTGGGAAACCAGACGTTCTTGTTGCATGTGTTGGTGGAGGTTCAAATGCCATGGGACTCTTCCATGAATTTGTTAATGATGAAGAAGTTAGGCTGATTGGTGTGGAAGCTGCAGGTTTTGGATTGGATAGTGGTAAGCATGCCGCTACCTTGACAAAAGGAGAGGTTGGCGTGCTGCATGGAGCTATGAGCTATTTATTGCAGGATGAAGATGGGCAAATAGTCGAGCCCCATTCCATTAGTGCAGGGTAAAGATATCTTATTGATCTCTTATCATTTGACTAGCGATGGTGTTTTTTGCTGTATTTTGCTAACAAAAATAGTTTTCATCATTTTATGTCAAATAGACTAGATTACCCTGGTGTTGGACCGGAACACAGCTTTCTGAAAGATTTAGGACGTGCTGAATACTATAGCATCACGGATGAAGAGGCATTGGAAGGTATGGAAATTGCATTTACATTTACATTACTTTTTCTAGTTCTATATAATTACTTACCTCTGTTTGACTGTGATTAGTGTTCATGTGTGTATGAGTATTGTTGATTTTATTCTCACAGTGAAGCCTTACATCCTTTTTTACTATCTCTATCTAGCCATTCTGGTTTTTTTCCCTTTCCCTTTTTAGTGTGTGTGTGTGTGTGTGTGTGTGTGTGTGAGAGAGAGAGAGTCTTGCCCCCATTCAATTTCTAAGAATAGAATCCAATATCTCTCCATCTCTCCTTAGGAGAGACTTGGTGGCCAAAATGTTAGCCACTTTTCTACAACCCCTTGGTTCAGTAGCTTTTTACTTTTAGAAAATTTTGATCTCAGTAGTTTCATGTTGATGTTGAAATGATGAGTCTCTATTGCTTGTCATGTTTAATTTTCTATGTAATAATGAGATGTATAAATATCCTTCAAATTTTGTGTTGCTATAACATCTCTTAGGGTTGTCTTCTATGGTGATTTTTCATTTTTGATTCATAAATTTATGGGAATCTGAAGAAATAGTTCGACAATTTGATGTCTCCCAGACTTTGTAAATTCTTATTAATTGATCAGTAAGTTTGGCATGTGGCTAAAAAGCTAAAAAGCCAAAAAGCCAAAAGTTACTCAAAAAGTTAAAAAGTTATCACTATTCACCAAAAATCAAAAATTACGGCGGCACAACTCTCAATCTTAATTTTCCCCTACACACTAATTTATACAATTTTTTAATACACATTTTTCCATAAAAAGTCAAAAAGTTAACTCAAACAACTATATTTTTTTCCTTAACTTTTTAGTTTAAAAAGTTAAAAAGTGCACTTATTTAGGACATCCCTAACAACCCCTTGAGATCTGCAAATTCCAGCTCAATCTTGTAGCTTGCTCCCCATTTATTTACTTCCCGAAATGCCCAGAATGTTTGCCCACTATACCATTCCATGCAATTTGATGTCTCCCAGACTTTGTAAATTCTTATTAATTAGTCCAAAAAGTTAAAAAGTGCACTTATTTAGGACATCCCTAACAACCCCTTGAGATCTGCAAATTCCAGCTCAATCTTGTAGCTTGCTCCCCATTTATTTACTTCCCGAAATGCCCAGAATGTTTGCCCACTATACCATTCCATGAACTCGTGTCTGCCTCATTTAGACTTATTTGAACCTTTTGGGAAGGTGCAGTAATTCCTAGCTAAAATTGGATAACTTGGGGATATGCTAAGCCAGCTGCTGATATTTCTGTTATTCTTCTGCCATTAGAATTTACGGAATCTGCTCCGTGATAAAAGAAATGTGACTCTTCTACCTGTTTTCAACTGATTCCACAACTACTTTGTTAAGATAATTTGGCAATTTTTTTTTTCTCCATCATCATTTTCAGTTATTTGTGATTTCTCTGTTCAACCCTTGTTTCCATAAGTGTTATTTATTTGCTTATTTGTTTGTGTTTTTTTGCATGTAGGGTTTAAGAGATTATCTAGACTAGAGGGCATAATTCCAGCTCTGGAGACATCTCATGCAATTGCGTATCTGGAGAAGCTGTGTCCCACCCTCCCAAATGGAACTAAGGTTGTGCTTAACTGCAGTGGCAGAGGAGATAAGGATGTTCAGACTGCCATTAAATATTTGCAGATTTAATAATAATAATAATAAGAAGAAGAAGAAGAAGAAGAATGGTGCTTGTATGATAATGTCATAGGACCCAGAAGGGTTTAATCCTCAAGAAATATCCTTTTTCGAGTTTTTTTCTCTTTTTCCAAAGGGTCTGTTTTTTGTATGAAGGAAAAGAAATTTTGTTCCGTTGAATTTGAATTTGACAACTTTCAATTTTAGTCAAAAAATTATTGTAACTTATCTCATCATTCTCGTTATTCTTTTACATGCTTTTTTGTAAAGTAGAAAAGTTATTAAAAATTTCGTAAGGGAGTAGGTACAAGATTATTCTTGAGGCTGATTCTTGAACATGCGTCCAGTTTTACAAGGAAGAACTCAGTACAACTGGCTTCTTTTCAGAGGGTTTTTTTTATATTTTTTATGGATAAATCACATTAAGAGTTAAATGTTTGTTAGAATTACTCTAACACTTATGATGCATATATTGCAACAAAAATCTTTACAATATACTTTTTTAAATTCCTTGTTTTAAAATTAAAACTTTAAGAATTATGTTTCAAAATTTGCATATCATACAGACAGATTTGGAAACATTGATGGCCCAGCGTGCCAAACATCTCCATGCATTTCATCAAGTACAAAACAATTGAATTTCATGGTAATACATTCCATTGTAATTGCTTTGCCTAAAACACCTACAAATTGTTCCTGATTATTTTGAGAATTCTCTTCACTTTTCAAGGAGAAAGACTGGTGGAAGGAAAACAAAACAAAAAAATGAAAGGAAAACCCTAATCACCTGTATAATATTAAAGTTCTCTCCAGCTCATTATTATTGTATCTACAAAAAGAAAAGCTCCTGATCCACAGTAGTGATGGATCACAAAAAAACGCACAACAGATCTTGGCAACATTATTTCTCTAATCATTTATATAAAATACAAGACATTCGTAGTAAAGTCCCCGTCCCAGCTCTCTTACTGCTTTGCCTGTAAAAAAAATAAATAACATGGTACAAAAATAAGTTAAATTTTGAGCATATTTGCAGTAAGGTTCACAACATATTTTGGGTGGCAGGCAAGGGGAACAACAAAAAATTGAATCCTATTCAGAAAATTACGAAAGCTATCTAGTCCATGAATGTTACAATAGTGTGTGCACCTCTAGGGATTAGTCGGACTTTGATCCGGATACCCCAGTGCCAATCAAAAAAAAAAAAAAAAAAAAAAAATTATCAGACAAAATAGTGGGATCTGCCCCATATGGATGTGGAAGGGTCCAAATTCTATTGGCGGACAAAGACAACTTCAATGAGTGGTCCCCCATCCTTGTGATATTTTCTAAATTACAACCACATGCCCAAGAAGCCCACAAAAATCTGGTAATTGGCACAACTGTGATGAATGCCATAGTTTGGTCTAATAATACTCTACATAAAGTACACATACGAAACTGTTTGGAGCTGCTTATAGCTTTTTTCATTTTGGGAGTCTATGTTTGGTGTAGTTTTCTGCTTGTAGCTTATAAAGAAGAAACAACTTAAGCAAGCTGCAAAAAAACTGATAATCTAAAAACTGAGTGATTGCTTTTCACTTCTATCTAATTATCAACTTTCAACTTAAGAAAAACTATACCAATCAGGCATGCTATTGTTACAAAAATTCTCTTTGTCCTCGTGATCTTTCAGGCATACTACCACGTGCCAAGACCCAAGCTTCTAAAATCTGGTAATTGACACTATTGCCATTGAAACTCTAATAATACTATTACAAATTTGGTGTAGTACTAGTTCTGAAGATTAAGCAGTGAAATAGTAGTGTTTGCCGACTACAAAATGCCTTTAGCACAAACAGCAAACCAACCATACCAAATTGCTGCCAGCAGCAAAAGAGTTGGGTGGAAAATTTGTTGTTTCGGATAGTGTTGTTTAGTAGTAGTCTAGGAGCCCTAAAATAAATTAATGGATAAAGATACATTAAGGCCCGGTTTGGTTGATGTTATTTCCCTCCTTACTGTGAGGAGGAAGATGGCTCCGTTTGGTTTAATTTTTGAAAAAAATTTTGAATTGTATTTTGAAAATTGAAAATTGAAAATTTGTTTGGTTATGAGTTTTGAAAAAAAATTTAGGATGATAAGTAATTTTTTTTTTTTTTTTTTTTTGAATCAAATATATGGGTGTGAGAAAATTTAATTGATTGATGTGTAGAATGAGAGAAAAAATGATTGATTGATTTATTAATAAATAAATAGAAAAAGAGAAGGAGAGATGAGAGAGAGAAAAAAAATTGAAAAGAATTTTGCAAATTTGTTAACCAAACATGTTTTTTGATTTTTTTGATCCAAATGTTAATTTAAAAACTAAACTAAACACTACCTCAATCTTTCTATTTATTCATTAACATACAAACAAGTGACAAGATCTTTAAAACAATTTTGTCCATACATCTATCTTGTTAGCTACTCAAACAAAGATAGTCTTAACGGGATAATTTCATTTTCACTTAATTTTCAAAAAAGGAAGGGTCATTTGGAGACAAGCAGACAACTTTCAGATGTGCAGCTATCAATGATCGACATCAAAACTCAATTCATAAAGAGAAGGACCAATTACCTGGGAGTACAAGAAGGTTCCAAGGATTGCGATGGCTGCTCCAAGAGCATTGATGGGTTGGACAGGTGTGTGGAAGATGATGATAGAGGAGACAATGACGGATATACGCTTCATGGTGTTTCCAATGCTAAATGTCAAGGGAGATATCTCGTCCAGGGACATGTATGAGACCTGATTATAGAGGTGATAGAACACACTCTGTGCCACCACCCACCTATAAAATGCAAATGTCAGCCACATAAAACATTTATTTTGTACAAGCAATAAAAGGAATAAATATCAAAATCTTTATTAATGAGCAACAGAACACAGATTTCATCCTACAATGATATGAACCACTAGCATGCAAGCTAATCAAAGATATATATATATATATATTAATGCATGAATAACATGGAAGTAATTTTTTTCTTTTTTCTCTTTTTTTAAATATGAGAAAGAGAGTATCAATCATTATACTTTTAGCCGCTAAATATTTCACGGTGCCCACATGATCCATATTTCCTGTTACCAGAAGGATTTGCTAATAACGGTGTGGATGCTGCTCCAATCATACAACAATCAAGCATATTATAGAAAATTAAAACATTAAGTGCTTAAGAAAATATGAGAAAAATTATTTCATTTGCAGCCCCCTGTTTTTTAGTTGAAAGCAAGCAATAATAATATTAATCATAAAATTTCTTCTATAGGATTTTAAATGGAACAAAAAAATGATTCAGTAGAAATCAGATGGCCTCTTCAATCAAATAAACTAGGTGCAAGTTACTGTCACAAATGGCCTGATAACAATTTGGAAATACAAGATATGATTAATATTTTATAGCTATTTAAAGCTATTTCTGTAATTATCTTCAAAAGGTTGAACAAAATAGGTCATGTAAGATAGCTACATCCTGCAAAAATACCACCAGCAAGAATTTTTTACTACGTGTATGAATAAGCACCACCATGGAATTACAAAAAATACAAAGTAGAATACAAATAATGGGTACAAAGCAATCATAGTTGGTAGTTGTCATGTGGTTACCAAACGAACTGGGGTCCAATTTGTGCAAGAGCATTTTGCCATCCAACTGCCCACATCTGTGGTCCCTCGACAGCAATTGCAAATGGCGTGAGAATCAAGAGAGACAACAAAGATAGACATGCATAGTAGTTCATTCCACCAACTGACTTCCCCTTCATACCCTTCTTTGAAAATATGTTGCGAAATACGAATGCCAAGTTTGATATCATGGCCCCCATAAATCCTGAAATTGACAGCCAACAACCAAAGTAAAGGCATGAAGCAACAAAATTACGTTCAACCCCACACACTTTCTTCTAATGCCATGAATATCACAAACTGCCAGAACCCAAGTCATCCAGCTAAGCAAGAAACTCGTGACTGTTGTAAAGAAATTAAATGAATTGAAAAGAAACTCGTGTCTAAAACACTTTCATTCAACCACTGTAGTTCGGAGAGGGTGAAAACGTTCAATTTGCGATGAGATTGATGGAGAACATTAAAAAACATGAATTAAGTTTTAGTTTTACAAGTTTAAATTTTTAAATTTCTAAAAGAATATAGAGCTCTCAGTTGATATTAAAACCTGAAGTGCAAGGATTACATAAAGCTCAAGTTGCAGGAAATTTTGTTTTCTCATGTCCCTAACAATGAAAATTCAGTGACTCTCAAGATCTAAACTTCAACAATTTCCTTACATTACCCATCAATCATTTACAAAAATGAGGAACAAAATCAACTACAAGAAAATATAATGAATCAAATGGTAAATAATTCCAACTTTCACCATATATATAGATTACCAATCATGTTGAAGTTGAGCTCAGTCACAGCAGCAAGAGCGCAGCCACCGATGATCGGAACAAGGGACAAGTAAACCGGCACGGGAAACGTCTCACCCAAGAGAAACCTCGACACCAACACGCTGAAAGCAGGCTCACCACTCTTGATGATGTGAGTAAACGACACTGCAACTTTTGACATACTCACTGTAGCAGCCACATGCCCAATTGTATGCGCCACAGCAACCTAACAAAAAAATACAACAATCAACAACAAACCGAGATCATAAAACGCCAAATTACACCAAACCCATGTCACAAAAACCCTAGATTAACTTACAGGAAAGAGGGTTTTCCAGAACTCGAAATCAGTCTTTGGTGCTTCGGCTAGTCTGGTAGCCCAAGAGATCAACATCATGAGAGATCCACAAGCGAGAGATAGAGTCGAAGTAAGCCATGGAAAAGGAAAAGCATTTAGTACTTTTTTGTTGTAGATGTTGAAGATCACATTCAAAGCCCACCATGTCGCGAAGTAGATACCGATCTTGAGCTTCTTAGCTGCCTCTGATGGTTGCTTCGGTTTCTCGACGTTTGAACCGATCGGCTCCGATCGATCCGCCTCGTAGGCCTTGCATGTGATCAGAGATAACTTCGACGATGTCTTCAAAGACCCAAAACCCTCAATCGAAGAAACAAACAAGGGTTTCGCGATCGAGACGATAGGGCTTTTCCGGTGACTTTCCAACGCAGGGAGAGGAGGTAAAACCGAGAATCTCCGTGTCGGTGCCGGCGAGTTTTGCCGGAAAATCTCGGAACCGGTTAGGGTCACCGTAGACTGCTTCAGAGACGAAATCATACTCATCTTGAGAAAAGATCGAGATGGGTTTGTGCCAGAAATTCAAAAATGAGAGTCGAAAGATCTGAAGATTCAGAGATCGTAAAGGTTTAATGAAAAAAAACCCTCACGACTCTGTAAAACCTTAACAAACCCTCAAGTCTGCTTGGGTTTGAAATCTTGAATTACAAAGTCCAAAAACGAAAAAAAACAAAAAAAAAAAAAAATGAAGTGAATTTCGATGATTGATCGATGGGTATATCAGAAGCAACTATGGGTTTGATCGACGAATGTTTGAAAAAAGAACCAAGTTTTGGCCTCTCTCTTTGAAATCTCAGTCACTGTGTCACCAAACAACACATATGATCCGATCGATCGAACTACCCTTTGCTTCAGCAAACTTGGGTTGGTGTGGTGCTTTTTAGATGAGAAGGTGGTTTTGCGGGGGGTTTTATTTTTTATTTTTTAAAAAACAAATATGTACAAAAGTATAAAATAATGTAATTCAAATAAGTTAATATAATAATGTAATCTAAATAAGTTAATAAATTAATAAGTTAGTGTTCGATTTATTTTTAAATCATAATTTGAATGAAATATGTTAATCAAATATATATTTAAAATATAATTTAATTGTTTAGAATGTTTTAAATAAGTATACTTTTTGAAACATAGATTGAATTTGAAGTGATATGATGAGAGATGATGTGACTTAAATAAGTATACTATTTCCTCTCATATTCTTTCGCATTCAATACATTAATCAATCAAAAAAAAAAATTTACAAAGTTATTTTATTGATAAGTCCAATTTAGAAGTGTTTTAACTCAAGAAGTCCATAAAGGAATTTTTTAACCCATTTAGTCCCATATATGTATAGTTTTATTCCATAAAGTCCATTTTCTTAATTTACACTATTTTCTTGGACACTTATGCCCTTATATTCAATTTTGATACACTTATAAATATTTTTTGAACGATTAGCAATTTAATAATGTGAACATTCATATTTTTAAATTCACATTGGTGGGAATGTAAAATTGGCCCGTGGGCGGCCCGAAACCCGCCCGGGAGCTGGGGCGGGTCTGGCCCGTTGACAATGTGAATATTCACATTGACATGTTAACATTCACATTAAAAGGAGTGCAAAATTGGCCCGCGTCCCGTGGGGGCGCGAAACCCGCTCACGGCCCACGGGCGGACCGGGACGGGCTCGGTCCGACCCATTGACAATGTGAATATTCATATTGACATGTTAACTTCCACATTGATAAGAGTATAAAATTGGCCCGCGGCCAATGGGCGGCCAAAAGCCCGCCCACGGCACGGGGAGGGCCCGGCCCGGTCCGTTGACAATGTGAATATTCACATTGACATGTTAACATTCACATTGATAGGAGTGTAAAATTAGCCCCCGTCCCGTGGCGGCGCAAAACCCGCCCGCGGCCCATGGGCGACCTGGGACGGGCCCGGTCCGGCCCGTTGACAATGTGAATATTCACATTGACATGTTAACATTCACATTGATAAGAGTATAAAATTGGCCTGCGGCCCATGGGCGGCCAAAAGTCCGGCCCGGCCCGTTAAAAATGTGAATATTCACATTGGCATGTTAACATTCATATTGTTAAGAGTGTAAAATTGGCCCGCAGCCCGTGGGCGGCCTGAAGCCCGACTAAAGCCTGAGGCGGGCTTGGCCCGACCCGTGACAATGTGAATATTCACATTGACATGTTAACACTCACATTGATAGGAGTGTAAAATTAGCCCGCGCCCCGTGGCTACCTGAAACCCGCCCACGGCCCGGGGCGGGCCTGGCCCAACCTGTTGACAATGTGAATATTCACATTGACATGTTAGCATTCACATTGATAAGAGTGTAAAATTGGCCCGTGACCCGTGGGCAGCCCGAAGCCCGACCTCGGGCCGCGGCGAGCCCGGCCCGTTGGCAATGTGAATATTCACATTGACATGTTAACATTCACATTGATAGGAGTGTAAAATTGGCCCGCAGCCAGACCGCACCCCGAGGCGGGCTTGGCCCGACCCGTGACAATGTGAATATTCACATTGACATGTTAACATTAACATTGATAAGAGTGTAAAATTTGTCTGCTGCCCGAAGCTCGCTCGCGGCCTGCGGTAGGCCCGGACCCAAACCCGGGCCACCCCAGGCCGTCCATGGGACGCGAGTCAATTTTACACTCTTATCAATGTGAATGTTAACATGTCAATGTGAATATTCACATTGTCAATAAGCCAGGCCGGGCCCGCCTCGGGCCGTCCATGGGCCGTGGGCGGGTTTCGGGCAGCCACGGGGCACAGGTTAATATTACACTCTTATCAATGTGAATGTTAACATGTCAATATGAATATTCACGTTGTCAACGGGCTGGGCCCGCCCTGGCCCGAAGCCGGGCTTCGGTCTGCCTATGGGTCACTGGCCAATTTTACACTGTTATCAATGTTAATGTTAATATGTCAATGTGAATATTCACATTGTCAACGGGTTGGGCCGGGCCCTCCCTGGGCAACGGGCGGGCTTCGGGCCGCCCACAGGCCACGGGCCAATTTTACACTCCTATCAATGTGAATGTTAATATGTCAATGTGAATATTCACATTGTCAACGGGCTGGGCCGGGTTCGCCTCGGGCCGCCCACGAGCTTCGGGCCACCCATGGAGCGCGAGTCAATTTTACACTCTTATCAATGTGAATGTTAACATGTCAATGTGAATATTCACATTGTCAACAGGCCAGGCCGGGCCGGGCCCACCCCGGGCCGCCTACAGGCCGTGGGCTGGTTTCGAGCAACCACGGGGCGCGGGTTAATTTTATACTCTTATCAATGTGAATGTTAACATGTCAATGCGAATATTCACATTATCAACGGGTCGGGCCGGGCCCGCTCAAGGCAGCCCACGAGCTGCCGGGGGGTTTCGAGCCGGCCACAGGCCGCGGGCTAATTTTACACTCCTATCAATGTGAATGTTAACATGTCAATGTGAATATTCACATTGTCAACGGGCCCGGCCCGGCTCGGGCTTCGAGCTGCCCACGTGTCATGGACTAATTTTACACTCTTATCAATGTTAATGTTAATATGTCAATGTGAATATTCACATTATGAACGAGTCGGCCTGGGCCCGCCCTGGGCGGCGGGCTGACTTCGGGGCGCCCACGGGCCGCGGGCCAATTTTACACTCCTGTCAATATGAATGTTAACTTGTCAATGTGAATATTCACATTATCAACGAGCCGGGCCGGACCTATTTTTTGGGCCTGTGGGCCGGCCCGGCCCAGCTCCGATTTTTTTGGGCACCCACGAGGATCGACATGGGCCGGGCCCCTACACATTGACGGTGTGAACATTCACATTGGGGTATTTTGGTAATTATGTCACCCATAGGACTTATTGAAATATAAGAAAATAATGTGAACTAAATGGAACATAAGTAGATGGAATATAAGAAAAGGGTATTTTGGTTTTCTTATCTCAAATTGGACCTAATGGAATAGTCAAAAAGAATATGGGTTGGATGGAATAAAACTCTTAGAAAATGGATTTATCAAAAAAACTCCCAATTACAAATCATCCTTAAATTATTTTAAAAATTCATAAGTAAACAAATTTTTTCTTTTCAAATTATAATTCAAAAACTCAAAATTCAAAACATAATTTTAAATTAAACCAAATGGGTCCCTAATTTTTTTTTTTTCCTAATTGTCAAAATAGGCCTTTATAAGAAAAATGTTTAAGCCATAGTTTGGTTAACATTTTGGAGCTCAATAATCATAAAAAGGAAAAATAGGTTATATAAGTCAATAAGACAAAATATTACTTTTTATTTATAATTATTATATTTTTTTCTCTCATAAAAGTAAAAAAACCCCCAAAACAAGAACGAAACGAGGCTAACAAAGCCATGCTAAAAAAGTCCCAATACAAAAATATTAACTAAAACAACCAATGCCAAACGAATCCTAAAACCTTCAAAAAATTTCCACAAGTCTATCCACAAAGATGTGATAAATATGTGTTAATTTTTTATTCATTACACACCAATGGATGGTCCTACTCCCTTAGCACATCAATTTTTTTTTATATAAATACTTGGATTGGTAACATTACTCATTTTATAATATGAGAAGACTTGTAAGACCATCTCCAACTCAACACCAAATGCTTCATCAAATTTAAATTTGATGGAAAAACTCACATTTTGATGCTTCAACTCAATACCAAATATTTCATTAAGTGGTGTTTTGAGAAGTTGGTAAAAAATTAACTTTTTGTCTTTTTTTAGTTTATTTTGTCTTTTTATAGGTTAAAAAATATGAGAGATAATGTGACACAAATGGGTAAAAAACTAAAAATTAGCCTTTTACTGAATTGCCAAAGCACCTCTAAATTCAGGATTTTTCAAACATTTCATCAAATTGATGATGGATTTGCCTTTCATTAAATCATTGTTCATAGCTGTTACCAGACAACATGCCGGATGTTCAGCCAGTTATCCTCCCGGATGACCACCTCCTTGCAAAAATGTGTAAAAAAATTGTACTTGCCGGTCGACCGGTCGGTCGTCCCCCCGGTTGTCCTCCCAATCGACCGGTGATTTAATGAAATCCTAAATTACTCCATTAAAACGCGAGATATCAAATCAAGCATTTTTAATCAAATTTAAGTGAAATTTGATAAAATTTTTGAGTAAAACGTTAGAGATATTCTAATGCGGACTATGTCTTTTGATAAAGAGATTAAAACAATTTTTTAAAATTTTTTAAGTTTTTTTTGTCACATCATCTCATCTCATTACTTTTTTATACATGTTTTTTTGAAAAAAAATTAACAAATTCAAAAAAATTAACTTTTAACTTATTTTCTAAAATAAATCATTATTTGAGCTTTTGAAATTTATCTCTTATTTTAATAATTTAAAATTTTTATTTTATAAAATTGTACGTGCGTATAATTCATAAAAAAATTTACATCAATATAATAATCATAAAAACAGCAAGATATTTGCTTGCAAATGCAGATCTAGGATATTTATACTGCACCTAATAAAATTTTTACATCACATCACGACACTTCGTCAAAAAGCGAGATAATTACTTGCAAATGCTGGTCTAGGATATTTATACGGCACCTAATAAAATTGCCACGTTATTATTTTTATAATTATGATGAATTTGAAATCATTATCAAAGATTCAAAGCAAGCACTCCAATATTATACGAAAATCTTTGATATTGTGAGTAGAGCATATTCTTTTTTATATGCTATGTGATTGTTTAATTTGGAACCAATGTAGCATCACGGTGGTGTCTATTTATCTCTTATTATGGGAGTTGCATAGATTATTGATTATTAGGTGAATTGGTTTTATTGACTCTTTTTTTTTTTTAATTATTGTGAACTAATAATTT